CCACTGCCGCGCCGTGCCGCTTCCGGCAGCAGCGGCGCTGCCACCGCGTCCTCGCGGGCCAGTCGCTCCAAGTCACTTTCGCGTGGCGAAAACGCAGCGAAGGCGACCGGCGAGAAGGCGGGGACCTTCGGGGACGGGGACATCGGCACGCGTCTCGCCGCAGAGGGCACATCCTTGTCCGCGTTGCCGTGACTCTCCGCGCCGTCAGGAATCAAGCAAACGGCTGCCACCACCACCTCCTCCTCCTCACCTTGTTCGTCCTCGTGCTCTTGCTCTTGCTGCTGTTGTTGTTGTTGTTCTTCTTCTTCTTGCCTGTGGACTTGATGGTGCTGTGCCGCTGTATCCTCGAGGCGACAGATATAATGGAGTTCATGCTGCAGCGCCAACTTGTCCCGCTGCTCCTCCTCCAACGCCAGGCGCAGGGCGTCCAGCTCCGCACCAAGCTCCACAAGCCGTTGCTGCTGCTGCTGTCTCTGCGACTCCGTGGTGCCTAGTTCAGCCTGCAGCACCGCACAGCGGTCTTGCCACCGCTGCGCCTCGTGGTGGGCGGCCTGCAGCACGTGCAAAAGGTACTCCGCCTCCCGCCGGCTCTGCGCGGACATGGGACGCGCTGCTGCTGGTCCTCCCGTGCGCTGCTGATGCTGCAAGTCCGCGCCGGAACCCGAGACGTGCGCATCCATACGGTCGCCCACCCTTGTCGCAGTCGGTTGTGTTGAGGCAGACGCACAAACTTGGGTGTGGAACACCTGCTGCGCGGCACGCACCAATCCCGCAAGGCCACGTTGTTCCAACGCCTCCTTCTCTTCGCGCAGCTGCGCCACCATCGCCTGCAACCTGCGTTGCTCGGCGAGGCGCCGCTGCATTTCACGGCGCCGCTGCAGAAGGGCCTGCAACAACATCGATGCGTCCTCCGTATCATCGCCTGCACTATTCTTCCCGTTGTTGCCACTGCTGGCGGGGGTGCTTGCAGCAGCAGCCCCAAGGTGCGCAGCACTCTCCTTCACCTCCTCCTCGAGCGGCATCAGCAACTGTGCAGTAACGCAAAAGAGCCGCTCCACCGCAGGGGCATCGAACGGGAACCGATGCCGCCTAAACACTGCCGCGACACTGCCGTCGTCATCACCATTGCTGCTGCTGGTGCTGCTGCTGTTGTTGGCAATGCCGCTGCCACCCTCGAAGCGGGCCGCTGCAGCAGGCCCGTCTGCATTCATCACCACACACCCAGCGTGGTCGACACTCATCGCGCGTGACGCTCACCACACACTGCTCGCACACATCAACAGCCACAAGAGCCGTATGGGGTGGCAAAGAAGTAGGGAGGAGAGGGAGAATAAGGAGCAGCAGCAGCAGCGGCGGCAACAGATAGAACAAGGGGAATACTTCAAACCCACCCCCACCCCCCATCGGTCTCTCCCT